TCTAATAGCTCTGACCCCTGGGCAACTTTATTTATTAACATACAATCAAAATCACATTTCAGTACAATTAGAATACCACCACAGTGGAGTCCTAGCTTCCATGTGTTCTCCACATCAGGCAGATTTTAAAATGACTTTATGACATTGCACTTGCATTTCCTTCTTTTCCCAAAGACAAAGTCTGGAGCTGTTGCCCAAAGGATTGGAAGCCATTTAGTTCCCACTGCTACTTCACTGTGAGTGACTCAGCATCTTGGAGTGAGAGTGAGGAGAAGTGCTCCAGGATGGGTGCTCATCTGATGGTGATCCACAGCCAGGAAGAGCAGGTGCATCCTGGGAGAGAGTGGGCCCTGGGCCTGGCCTGCTGTCTGCCTCTTTTTACTAGGACGGGGTTTTGTTGACATGGGTGTTGCTGATGTGGCAGAAGCCTTTCCATCGGGAAGCCAAAAAGGTTGTTTCAGCCTTGGCATTCTACACCTTGCCCCTGCTTCAGTGAAGCTGAACAACCCACAAGGAACCATGGCAACAGAAATGCAATGCCTGAGGGTGTAGGGAAGGATGAAATGTTTCTGCTTGAAAGAGCAGTTTGTGATTTCAGCACTCTAATGCTTCCTGTAGTACCCACAACCTAACAGAGGAGGGCGCAGAGCTGACTACGGAAAGGGGATTAAATCAGGAGAGTCACAGCCAACTATTAGAAATGAAATGTCTGAGGTTATGAATGGAGAATGATTAAATCTGCTAAATTCTCTCATGCACAACTTTCAGGAATTGTGCTGGGGAAGAAAAGAAGGGGGTGAGTCTGAGATGAGAATTCATTATGATCATGGAGAAAGATTTTTCCCAGTGTCATGGAAATCAGGCCTCTGAATAATGACTTTGTGTCCTGGTCAGTCAGAGAAGATGGCACTCCTGGGGGTGGGGGTGGCTTTTCTATTCCTGATCCTTTCTTTGTCTGTAGATGAATTTCTAAACAGTCTTATTAAATAAGAAACACAGAGCCAAGTACAGGGGTGAAAGCCACAGAAATCAGAGTGACTGCCACCAACTAACCTTAGCTCACCATGTCGCTGTAGTTTCCCAAGAAAGCCTCTTCCTGTCTAACCTGCACCTTTATTGCCTTGCTGTTCTGCCTTCTCATTGGCTCTTAACCCAGCCACCTAACTTCCTCATCACTGCCTGTCTATACAGACCTCCAGGTCTCTATGGTTGGTACTTGGATTAAAGGCATGTGTCACCACGCTTGGCTGGTCCTTAAACACACAGAGACTTTGCTTGCCATGTGGTCAGATTAAGGGCATGTGCTACACTGCCTGACTTCTGTTTATGGCTGGCTATGAATTCTTATCTCCAGGCTAACTTTATTTATTAATTTACAAATAAAATATCACCACATTTGTCTTCTCATCTCTGTGTGACCAGAAGTTCACATCATACTGTGAAAATGTACAATTATTGTACATAAATCTAAAATTTGAAAGCCATTTAAGCACCTAAAGAAATGAAGTAGGATTTGATTATTTTGTATTTGCATATGTGCATCATAATGAACCCTATAATTTTGTATAGTTAAAATAACTTTTTAAAGATCTTATAAAATTCTATAAGAGAAAAAGAAGCACTCCATCCAGGCTGAATGCTGTATCTTTCTTTCCTCTTAGGATTTCATCACCAAGATCCTGGATGCTAAAGCTGCTTATTATATTGGGCTTTCAGATCCAGGTCACCGACAGTGGCGATGGGTTGATCAGACACCATACAATGAAAGTGCCACGTGAGTCCAGAGTTACCTAGAGGAGTCCTGGGTCCTGTAGCATGAGAAGACTTTAGGGTGTTCCAGCTGTTGGTTATGAAACTAAAACAGCTCACTCCTGGTGTGAGTGCTGGGGATGGAGTTACTTTATCCCCATTTCCTCATCAAGGAGTCCTGTGAGACACTTGTCACTGATACTCCAGGAGAGATGAGGAAATTGGGTTTGAAGATTGTAGCATGATAAGTACCCAGGGTACCCAACCAATGTGCTACACCATGGTGGGTTTTATTATTCTTCCAGTCTCTCATCTATGTATGTAATAATAGGATTTAATTTATTTTTATTTGTGTGTCTCTCTGTGAGTGTGTGCCCTGTGTATGTGAGTGCCCATGGAACCCAGGAGAGGGTGTTGGATTCTCCATAGCCGAGGTCACAGGTGGTGTGACTGCACCAATATGTTTGCTGGGAACAGAACTCTCCCATTTTCTGGAAAAGCACAAGCACTTTTAATTTCTGAGCCATCTCCCCAGCTCTCATTAATAATGTTGTAGTGAAAATTAATGTCAAGATCGTAACTGATTATTCTTATAAATATCACATTCTGATATTGTTGTTTGTTGTATTTATGTAACTATTTATAAACTCTAATATCTTAGTATGTTCCCATATTCTATCCTGATTTCTGTTGTGAGAAATAGGTGGTAATGTTATTCTCATTCTCTGTTTTCAGAGAAGACAGGTAGGAATCCAGAATATTAAGTTACTTTTCCTAGATGACAGAAATAAGTAGATTATATAGATATTTTAAGTAGCTCTTCAGTCTCTAAAATAAGACTGCTGTAAAAATGGGGGGGAAAGACTTCATTACATCATGTGAATAAGGAGAGACCTTTTCATCCTACAAATAAGTACATGGAATGACAGTTCTCAGGTACCAAGACCTAGGGATGAAGTAGCCCCTGGGATGTGTTCTGGGAGAACAGTTAAGTAACAGGCTAAGAGAATATTGAGTGTGGTGGGCCTTGTTATCCAGGGACATGTCATACATGGGTGGTGGAGAACCGTTGGTGTGTACACACCTGAATCTGATTTCCACAAATTCCCACCGCATCCTCAGGCTTGCTTAGTCTTGTTTTCTCTTTCCCAGCATCACTGTGGGAAACACCCTGATGCTCTTTTCTCCCTTCCAGGTTCTGGCACTCAAGTGAGCCCAATGATAACAAAGAACAATGTGTAGTAGTAAGTCATCGAGATTCTGGTTGGGGCTGGAATGACATCCTTTGCAGTGTTACACAGAAGTCAGTTTGTCAGATGAAGAAAATTTACTTATGAATCAAGCTTTCTCCATGGACATGGATTGCATTTTTATCCAGCATTACACAGGCACCTGGAAAGATCTTCTTATAGAAGAATTGTCCATAGAATTTAGACACGCAGCCAACAGTTGTACATATGAGAACACCAGCCTATATAGATACT